TGTCAAAAACAGTGTTTTCCTACTGCAAGCAAATGATCTGCAAATCAGCAAATAATTATTTTAGTCAAATTATTTAAACTATCGAGTCCTCAGTTTTTTTTATATTTATATATATCTGTTGAAAATAAACATTTGGTGAGCAAATTCACTAAAGCCTAAATCATCTTCACATGTGAAGAAAGCACAGCATGTATGCTGCTACAGATGTCATTGTCTGTGTTGGCTCACTTTCTTCTTTGTTTTTAAGCTGGTAGAGTTCGAATGATTAGAGATCCATTCATAAAGACACTTGAAAGGCAGGTTATAGCTATATTTTTTCACACAGAGCACCAGAGATTTGACCATTACAGCTTAGGCAAGCTGTGAAAATGAAAAAGATCAGGTTCCAAAGATATTCTATTTCTTGAAATGCTTCTTGTAGAAACAATATCAGACCTTGACACTGAATATTGGCAAACTGAATATTTTGAGGGTGGAAGCACCCACAGAACTGCTGTAGGTTGCTTTCATGTAGGGAACTAGCCGTCTTAGTAATACATTATGCACTCTTTGATGGTGACAAGAGAAGAATATGTCACTTTACATTCATTCATACAGTCCATGTTATACGATATGATATAAAAGCACAGGAGGACACTAAGGGAGTATTCTTTTTGAAATTCAACTCATCATCACAGCAGACTAAATATCTTAACACCAGGAACCACAGGTACTGCCAAGGAATAAGAAAAGAAATAGCCACTTCCCAAATTGCTAGAGAACTATAAAATAGAGCAAAATGACAGCATAAAACAACATAAAGCACAATCCTATACACAACCCCCTGACCAGACCAGTTACAAATATAATTCAAATAGGGTGTTGCTGTTCGTTTTTCTTTCTTTAAGGAAGTACAGCAGTTGAAATTATAAGTTACAGCATGCGGGACCTCAATGTGAATCGGTGGTCTGCTTCACAAAAAGAATGGGCCTGTAAGCAGGCATTACAGTTTTATACCCCAACAAAAACAAGTATTGTTATGACTATCTTCTTCTGGGAAACTGTCTTCTCCCCTGCGGATCTTCTCCTCCACTCCGTCCACGTCTGACCTCATCTACCATCTGCTCCTTTTCTGGAAAAAGATAGAGAAAGAAAAACACCTCCCTAACCTAACCTTACTGCATTAATATTATCTAACAATTCTCAGCCTACTGATTCTACGTATTATCTAAGACATTCTGTTTGGACTCCCTTGGCCCGGAAAAATATCAGCTAGACTCTAACTCTACATATGATGTGTAAGCATGTTTGCAGAGTCACTCTGCAGCTCTATATGTCAGTCTCAATAATTCAATTCAATCATACCATTGAATTAATGATTTTGACCCTTATTACATGTGAAATGTCACAATGTCAAATGTGAAATTTGACATGCATAATGTGAAACTTATCAATGATGGCCAGCTGTCTGGCCTCAAAACATGACATTACCACCACTGTGTTGCATTTAACCCATGCATCCCTCAATCCAATGTGTCCCCATTAAATTGGCTCTCAACCACCAAAACTTTGAGAATCATAGCTTTAAACTCTGTGAAATTAATGGTAATGGACAGGGACACAAATTAGGGCTAAATATCATGGTTCTGTTTTCTCGAGCAACTGTCAGAAATGCCAGAGAAGAGAGCCTTAAGTGCCTCAGTCCATGGACTATGTGCATTGTAGGCGGATCTGTGTCTGACAGTAGTTACCCTAGGAATAATCTACAAGTTCCTTATGGCAGTTGTCCTTTGAGCTCTGGATGTGTAGGTGACTGATAGAAGTCAAGACAATGAGCTTTTACTGAGAGCGCGGCACCCACATCTAATGAAAAGATATTTCTCAAAACTGTCTCCAGGCCTTCCCACAGAGCAACAAGCTTAGAGGTTGTGTAAGTGATTAGGCCAGTCTCCCTTCGCTTGACAGTCCACATACTTCACATTGACTGAAAACTTGTTGAGGTTGTGGAGAAAAGCGATTTTGGTTCCAGTGTAATCATCAGCGATCATCATGGTTAGTGCCCCCTGCTTCTCTGCATCATGCTGAATATATTTTTCCATATCTGTTTTTCTGCTCTTTTGATGTCCTTCAATGTCTCATTTTTTGTTTTTTCTGTTTTCATCACTCCTGCATGACTAACTGAAACTGTGCCAAGGATAGATTATCTAGCATTGCTTTCATTCAGGCTATAAGTGAGCCAGGCTGCATTAAAAAGTCCACATTTTCCACACAGTTCTCTGTAGAAATATAAGTTGGGGTGGTGGGGTCTGGCAGCAGATGGTATCACACAGTCGAATTGCTACAATAACATTTTGAGTGTTTGTGTACATATTCTCTTTTGTCCATCTATGATAGATTCGATGTAAGCGGTTCAGGAGGCACCGTGCTGCACTGCTGCAGTAGAGGGTCACCGCACGCTCGGTCTGTTTGGACAACAGTGCAATACTCTGAAGGGAAAGAAAGGGTGTGCGTGTGTGTGTGTGTGTGTGTGCGCGCGCGCTTGCATGAGAAAATTGAAGAGAAGGAGAATGATGAAGTGGTTAGAGAGTGAGGAGGAAGCCAGAAGGGTGATTAATAAGAGGAGCATGGCTCTAACTCTGCTTGGGTTAGGAGTTCAGTCCTCTTAAAACTGCAGCACAGTGAGTTAAACTGTACTTTAAATGGCAAATATAAATAATGCAGGACTCCTGGATCTGCTTCTTAAAACTGTCAAACAAAATCTCTCAAAAATGTTAAATATTTTCTATACTAATATTTAACTAAGATGTTAGTCCTTGTTGGCATTGTTATCTCATTAGAGCTAACAACAGCTTACAAATGTGTTGAATATGTCATGGTCCTGGGTCGTGCGACCCAGCGTTTTGTGTTTAGTCTATTTTGATGTTTATTGTTTGTTTAGGTTCAATAAGTTATTCCAGCTCATTTGTAATTATATTACCCTTGTATTAAGCCTCCCTTGCCCTTCATGTGTTTATGTCTGTGTGTCTTGTGTTGTCAAGTTCATGCTGTCGCTTCTGTCATCTTCCACTGTACTCAGTCTCCCTGGTTCATGCGTTTACCTGTCATGAGTCATGTCTGCATGGTTATGTTTAGTTCATGTCATGTCTAATCTCCATGTTTCCTGTTTTACTTTGAAAGTCTGTATTCAATGTCAGTGTATTTAGTTTCAC